AGCATTCTGCATTTGCACGAAAAAACCGCGAGAATTTTTGCTTGAACTTCGCACACCGCTCGCCATTACAGTGTTTCTTTTACTGGCCGCAATTTGATATTTGCGCGCATGATCAGTATGAGCTTTCGCGTGATTCCCGAGCCCTCAATGCGTTCCGCTGACTGTCACGGATATCTTTTGGCCTCACCTAAAGAAGAGCCATGGGGAGTTCATGGGGAGTCTATCTGGCGTGTATCTATGCAAAACAGGCAAAATATCCACGAATTTTTGCATTTAAATTCGATTTCAAACAAACCTAAAGATACAACCAGTACAAACGCAGCGCACCTTCGAGTCAACATTAGCCATGTCAGTGATTGTGACGGCTGTTTTAGAGGGTGTCCTCGGTCTTCTCTTGAAGAAAGGCAGACGAAGTCTATCAGAAAAATTAAAAGATGGTGATGTTACAAACCAACAGTTACGCAGCTGGATCGTGAGCGAAATCGACAATGTCAATTCGAAATTGGAAGCATTTGCAAGGAGTGACCTGAAAACAAGTGTTTCTTTCTTCAAGGAAGGACTAGTGTTTCTAAAAAAAGTAATTAATACTGAACATGGTAATCAGAGATGTACAGAAACAGGTCCAGACGCAGTAGAAGAGGAGGCGAAAAAGCCGGGGGCCTGCCTTCGAGTAACCGAAGTCACAACAGCTGGGGTGAAAATTCTGAATCTTGCCGAGGAAATGAGAGGATTAAATTTAACCGATCTCAATGACTCTGGTAAGGAAACGCTCTCAGACGCAAAGAAGAGATTCGATGATGCTCGCCGGGAAGCCACAAAAGCCTTCAACAATGAAGTTCTATCCCCCTGTGATCGTATTCTTGCCATGGCTGTCCGTTTGATGGCAACAATACTGGAAAAGGTGGAAAATCCTGTAAGTGTATTAGAGGCGTGCAGATCGGGTCTCGAAGAACTGCACACGACAGCAATGGTTAAAGAGAATTTCAAAGCCGAACTCAATAAAGCCCTCAAGGTGAAGCTTAAGATGAATAGTGGTGAACGCAGGGAAATCATTTCCTTAGTGTGTCATATAAATCGCATCATTTACGATGTTACACTTCTGATGGGTAAAAACGAAGATCTTTTTCTGTTGCCGTGTGTTGATATCGGAGACGAAAACGTCGATCCGCTACGTGACGTTAGGGTAGCCAAAACGTTGCGTAAGGTCAAAATGGGTGACTGTTCTGTGGCGTGGTCATTTGGCCAGATTGGCAGCAGCATCGCTACTAACACGAAGAAACAGTTTTTAATCGTACACGACGACGAAGTTAAGGTTTATGACGCTATCGGAACTTTCTTGAACTCCTTTGGTCTTCCCGGTGATCAGGATGAATCCGTTCGCAACATCAAAGCAGTAGCTACTGACAGAGCTGACAACATGTACGTTCTAGTTCTGGTAAACGATCTTATAATGGGGATGTATAGCAGTTTTATTTACGTGTTCAACAAGGAAGCCTCTTTCAGATACAAATTTTTAGTTGAGTCTGAGTTCTTGGCTAAAACGGTGATATTGAGAGACAATCACTTGCTTATACCAGGAGTATTTTTTCCTGCTGCGGACGTATCAGAAACATTGGATGAAGAATTGAAACAGTATGTAGCGGTGTGTAAAAGGGATGGAGAACGCATTGGCGACTTTTCAGAAGAAACAACTGGATATATCAAAGATATCACAGCTGATGACAATGGCAATATCATGGTGCTAGGTGACTCCTCTTGTGTCTACGTCTTTGCCAATATCACTACCAACGACGGTGATGATGAACCCAAACATGACCACCGGTTTAATCATCCCGTGGCTCATTTTGTTGACAAGTTTGAAGTTGCTCCCAACGCTCTCGCCATGGCCTTCCATTGGACAACTGGAAACGTGATCACTGCCTCGCAGAGCCCAGATGGTCGATCACAGGTGAAGCTATACAGTAAAGAAGGCAAGCTTGAACGCAACATTGACATTGAGTTGGAGAAAGAAGATTTCATTGAGGCGGCTACAGTGACTCTGGATGGCAGCATCTGTGTTAAGACCAGCAGAAAGGTGCTTGTACTCTAATGAGAAACTAGTATACCCGTTTATAGAAATCTCGAGCTCATAATCTAATTGCTTAATATGACGTTTGGACTCCCAAGTTAGCAAACCTTTAATGTCGTGGCGGCTACGGTGACAAAAGATGAATCCATCCTAATAGCTACTCGGTAACGACAAACAAATCGGTAAAGTACTTGAGGTGTTACAGGTAAAAAGGCTTATATTGTTTCCTTTTTAATTTGAATGTTTCTTATTACATCTATGCTGCCGGTTAGGTTATAGACTTCAAGTGTACTAGTATAATTGATTAGAAATTCACACAAAGTCTTTATGTATATGTCGTAGTATTGTAGAGATTCATTTAAACGGTGCAACTTTGCTTACGCATGGCGTACGCAACCTCGAATCGGTAGCGCGCTGCTAGCGTCTAGCCAAAACTTTTTACAAGTCTCCTTATTTCAGTGAGACCGAACAATAAGGCCCGTTCCAAACGCCGCTCCATTCATGCGCCGAACCTAACTGATGAGTTAAGTACGGCAGAAGAGCGGCGTTTGGTTCGGCAGGTTAGGTTTGGTGCGGCAAACAACATTAAATTTCGGCAGGGTCTGTCGCACTATGCGACGTTGGAGCGGCAGCTGATTCATACGGCGTTCTCGTCATGCGTCGAACCTAATGCATAAATTACTGTAATTTGTTTTTCATACAACGGGACTCGTGATTGGTTCAAAATTGAGTGGCGTGACCAGTCATGCAGGAAGCTCGAAGTCGTTGCTAAAAATAAAGACATCAAAATACAAGTATGCCTTCGATTTATGAGAAACGGGACTGTATAAGCGAGTTTCTTTAGAGCAAATTCATGTTTTGCTTTTTTTTCGTGATAATAGCCCAGCTTATTAGATTTCCCTTTAACAAGTTGAATTAACCGGGAGAAACCCTGTCTAAATACAGACACTGAACCTTGAGTTTGAATTTGCTTCCCTAAATATGGGTGACCCTAAAAGCAGGAATAATAGAATGGTGGAATCATGGAACGGCGGAAAACGACCCCACATCCTAAAAGACGGTATCGCGCAACGGCGGAAAATGACCCAGATCCTAAAAGACAGAATCGCGGAACAGCGGAAAATCCCCCAAAATCCTAAAAGACGGTTCATATTGAAAGTTCCCGATAATGTTTGGTAATGTTACGATTATTTCCAGTAAATCTTAACTCGACATTATTTCCACTTTAAAGTAAGCAGCTGTAGCATATTTTCCCAAACATTTACTCATTGATTTTAGGGTCAGACGACGACGAAACCTGCGTTAATATGGTTGATATTAACAGTTCCCGTTAATACTAGTTCCCGTTAATGACCATGGTAGAAAAGCAATCTTCCTAGCTATGCAACCATGTTTTTTGTTTTTTAAGGTAAGCAACTTTTGCATAGTTTTTCACTGAAAGTCATTTAATTTTATTAAGGTTTGATGACGAAACGTCAACCTTGTGAACAGGGTTTATATTGACAGTTCCCGATAATGTTAGTTATCGTCGAGATTATTTCCAGTTAATTTTAACTCGACATTACTTTCACTTTAAAGTAAGCAGCTGTAACATATTTCCCCAAACATTTCCACATCGATTTTATGGTCAGATGACGAAATCTGCATTAACATGGTTGATATTGACAGTTCCTGTTAATGTTAGTTACATTTGATATTAATTTTAGTTGATTTATACTTTCAAATAATTACTGCAGTTTTATGGAGATTATGCAGTCAAAATTCAGGTGAAAAGCATGCAGATGTACACAAGTCTTAAAAGAATCAATCCAACGTAGGAAAAAAGATGGCGGCTGTACATTTTACCACAATGCCTTGCGAACCTAACAGAGCCTTCAAGGCACAAAGAAAGCCAAATGTTTACAATATTTGT